ATAAGCCACTACCAGGGGCCCCCTAGAGTGCGGAGGCCTCCTCATTGACATCCATGTTCAGGGGTCTAGATCAATCCTGTACTGGCCTCCCAGACAGCAGTCTGGGGTCCATGTGTTCCCCCTTGTTCAGGACAGCTGTTTGTGGGTTTCACTAGACTGGTACTGACCCCTTTGATCTTCATTCCCCCCTCTCTGCTACTAAGTTCCAGAGTTCAGTTCAGTGTGTATCTGTGCGTGTCTGCCTCTGCTTCCATCAGCTACTGGATGAGGGCTCTAGGATGGCATAAAAAGTAGTCATCAATCTCATTTTAGGGGAAGGGTGTTTAGGTTATCCTCTCCACCATTGCCCAGATTGTCAATTCATGTCATTCTTGTAGGTCTCTGGAAATCTCCCTAGTGCCAGATCTCTCCTCAAACCTATAATGGCTCCCTCTAATTTGGTATCTCTCATCCTGATCTCCTCTATTCTTCCCCCAACTCAATATTTCTGCTCCTCTATTTCCTCCTCTCCCCTCCTCTTCTCCTCCTTTCTGTTTCTTTTTCTTATGTTTTATTTTCCTTGTTTTGGTGTTTTTGAGACAGGGGTTTCTCTGTGTAGCCCTGACTTTCCTGGAACTCGCTCTGTAGACCAGGCTGGTCTCAAACCCAGAGATCAGCCTGCCTTTGCCTCCCAAGTGCTGGGAATAAAGACGTGCACCTCTCTGCTTTGGGCCAGAGTTGAACATTGTGGGATATTGCACTACATTTGCTGCCAGTCAATAATGCAATGCTAAGTATCTTGCTTTCTTTGTTGTTATTAGGAGACTTCTTTTCTTTCTTCTGAGATAGATCTCATATATCTCAGGCTGGTCTCATGCTAACCAAGGATGACCTTGAACTGATCCTTTTGCCTTTACCTTCTGATGGCTGGGATTACAAGTGTGAACTACCACACCCAGTTATGTTGTTCTTGGGATTTTACCCAAGGCATCATTCATGTGAGGCAAGGACGCTACCCACTGAGCTGTATCTCCATCAAATAGGTCTTGTTTATACTCTCTTAGGTGCTACTTTTGCTTCATTGCCCTTAATAAGGACATGAGAAATATAGGTCATCACAACCCTGACTTAGGTTTTTTTACCCTGTCATCATGGGATCTTCCAGGGACATTATCAGATGATATTTTAGAAATAGTGAAAGTTGATTCCTCAGATTATTTTCTCTGAGGATCTTCATTTCATAGATTACTGAGAGTTTGCTTTGTTGCATCTATTATAGCATGATATGGAAAAGTCTATATTTTATCTCCCCAGGTATTCATGGATTACTACAATTAAACTTAATAGATAAGTGTTAGGTACTCTGTCTAGTGTACCACATAAAAACTAAAGAACATCTGTTCATTGTCATCAATTGAATGAATCTTTTGAGTTGAATCTTGTGGCTACCTCCTTTCAAAGCAACTGTTTTGCAAAGCCAAAATGATTTGTAATAAAGATGCCCATTCACAAGGCAGGCAGGATGGCTCTTGCCACCCGAGTTCCATACAAGGGACTCACATAATGGAAAGCAAGAACTGACTTCTGCAAGTTGTCCTTTGACTTCCACTGGTTTGTTGATGTGTGCCTGCCCTAGCACCAGCACACACAAATGTTTTAAATGGATGCTTAATCCAGGCCGTAGGGTAACACTATTGATGAGGGACTCAACTAAAACAAGTAGGAATGGCTCATATCCATCAGTACATATTGGCAGTCTAAGTCTCTTGAAGGCCTATTTAATTTCTTCAAAATGTGTGTGGAGGTGTGGGGGTGTATTTTCATGCACACACATGCACATGTACGTGTGCACACACATGGAAGGGAGCACATGCCATAACGTACATGTGGAGGTCAGAGTCCATAGCATTGTGGAGTAGGTTCTTCCTTTCTGCCTTTACTTTGGATTATGGGAGTAAACTCTTGTTATTGGACTTGCATGGCTGTTGGCAAGTACCTTTTACCTGTCAAGCTGTCTTGCCAGGCCTTGAAGGCCTCCTGGTGATGATTCTGGGACCTAGCATAATACTCTTCTAGGGAGTGTCTGAATCTGGTGTCTAATCTATCCCAGAAAGATCTTCTCTGCCCACTCCACAACCCTAAGAAGAGGACAAACAGGTAGTCCCATCCTGAATCTTGGTACTTAGAAATCATGAAGCCATGCTTGGGCACATGGGCTATAGGGCCTCTGTTTAGATTAAAGTCTCTTTAATCAAGAAGACACCAAGGCAAAACATAGGCCAGAGCTAGGTTATAGAACCCAGCAAGCGCGGCCAGAACAAAAGGGCCCGGGTCCCCATGTGCAGCCCCTTAAGAAGCTCCCTTACGTCACCCCGGCTTTCCTTCACCATGCCCTTATGGGCGAGTCCCGGGTCCACCTGGTACCTGTCCTAGGACTATTGGGCGGGACTAGGGTATCTCCCTACAATTCCCCTTTTAGTCTAAAAGAGGATTAAAACTTAATAGTAGAAATACCAAGTCTGTCTTCTCGCCTCCCTGTTGTTACTTTGTCTCTGGTAATAACATGTTTTTCTATCTCACAGTGTCATGGACTTTCTGTGGAAGGTTTTGTTCTTCCTTCTTCAACCACGAGAGAGGTAAGAATCTGTCTTTTACATTTACATGCTGGAAACCTTGACGATCTGAAATATTTCAGTTACCAATTATCGAATTGATATTGATTGAATTGGTATTATTGAAACTAAATATATAAATTAGTTTTCAAAGAAACACACCCATGCTTTTATAAATAAATTGACTGAAATGCATTGAGGAGGTAAAAATGGAGGGGAATATTAGACAATAATAATATGGTGCTGGGGAGTTGCCTTGGTCAGTAAACCGAGTTTGAATCCCCAGCACCCATGTAAAATAAAAATGGGTATGGCTATGCATGCCTGTAATGCCAAACCTGGGGATGTGGTGACAAGTGAATTGCAGGGGCTTGCTGGCCAGTTAGTCTAGCTGAAATGGAACACTCCAGGTTCAGTGAGAGACCCTGCTTCAAAAAAGATGGAAAAACAATTAAGAAAAACATCTCATGCCAGCTTCTCACTTTCACATTTGCCTACACAGTCAAGTGCACCAGCACACATGTATACAACACATACATACACACCCATACAAATCAATAATTCTATGTTTTATTAGTAAGAATAGCTTCTTGTGCCAGGCAGTGGTGGTGCACACCTTTAATCCCAGAACTTGGGAGGCAGAGGCAGGCAGATGTCTATGAGTTCAAGGCCAAGCTGGTCTACAGAGTGAGTTCCAGGACATCGAGGGTTGTTACACAGAGAAACCCTGTCTCAAAAAACCAAAACAACAACAACAAAAGACTAGCTTCTTGTAATGGTTAATTAAGGTTTTTCTATGTGAGACTGGGAGTCAGAGAAGGCAAAGGGGGTACAGGTGTTATGAATGGCTTCTTACATTCTCCCATCTCTTTCACCCCAACCTTTCTCTAATAGGATACTTGTAGACCTGTGCTGATCTTGACCTCTAATTTTATATTAGAGCAGCGATTCTCAACCTTCCTATTTCTGTGACCCTTTAATACAGTTCTCATGCTGTGGTGACCCTCAACCATAAAATTATTTTGTTGAGGCCGGGCATTGGTGGCGCACGCCTTTAATCCCAGCACTCAGGAGGCAGAGGCAGATGGATCTCTGTGAGTTCAAGGCCAGCCTGGTCTCCAGAGCGAGTGCCAGGATAGGCTCCAAAGCACACAGAGAAACCCTGTCTCGAAAAACAAAAAAATAATTTGTTGCTACATCATAACTGTTATTTTGCTACTGTTACGAATCATAATGTAAATATCAGATATGCAATCCCTGTGAAAGGGTCGTTTGACTCCTGTAGGAGGGCTGTTTTAGACTGCCAGTCCCCAAATAATGACATGGAGACTTGTAAATTATGAATGCTCAGCCTTATTTTAGACTTGTCTCACCAGCTCTTAGAACTTATAGTAACCTTACATTTAACTTATATTAACCCATTTCTCTTCATCTCTGTTTTGCCTTGAGGCCTTTTACCTTTCTTTCCTTCTGTAGGTCCTATTTTCCTGCTTCTGTGGCTGGCTGGCTGGCTGCTGCCTGGCTGGCTGGCTGGCGCTGGGCATTTTTTTTCATATGCATTCTCATTCTCTCTCTCTCTCTCTCTCTCTCTCTCTCTCTCTCTCTCTCTCTCTCTCTGTGTGTGTGTGTGTGTGTGTGTGTGTCTGTCTGTCCTTCTCCCCCTCATCCCCTCTCCCTCTCTCCCCCTCATCCCCTCTCTCCTCTCCCTCATTCCCTCTCCCTCTCATCCCAAGCCTAGATTCCTCCTCCTCCTTATTCTCTCTGCCTGCCAGCTCCACCTATCCCTCTACTCTCTAGCTATTGACTGTTCGGCTTTTTATTAGACAATTTGGGTTCCTTAGGAAGGCAAAGCAACACATCTTTACATCATTAAACAAATGCAGCATGAACAAATGTAACACACCTTTACATAGTTAAAATAATATTCCACAACAGACCCCCCAAGGGGGTCGGCCACCCACAGGTTGAGAACCTGTGTATTAGAGTAACTTTCCAACTTAGCTAATTAGATTTTCCAGAGAGGAAATCTGAGCATTTGTAATTTTTTAATCTCTAGACTAACACTATTTCCAACCATAAATAATTATGGTTGGAAAACATAGCCATGAAACACAGATACTGATTATCAGATGTTTTTGATTGTTTTGTACTACCAAAGTAGGACTAATGAGTTTAGAAAGGATAAAACTCTCAAAAAGTGCTTTTGTTGCAGTATCATCTGGATGTGCCAGTACTGAGTACTGAGTGTAATGTCTCAGACCTTTACTGTCGAATACAAACCCTTTATGTAACCGAGAACACCATGCTACATTCTGTGCATTTAAACAGTGTTGAAATATTAATAGTAATAATGTAAACCTAATACCTTTAAGAGTCCTCAAAGAACTTTCACATTTTTAAAATTTGATTTCTCAGTTCAACTTTGTAAGATACCCAAGAAGAGAATGTCTTTCCCTGTTTATAGATAAGGAAACAAACTTGGACATTGATTATCCAAGGTCATTTTACTCTTGACACAAGTTTTGAACCAATCTTTAGATTCCAAATCTAATTGGTTCTATAGAGTATAAACTCAATACAATTTTATCAAAAAGTATTTCTCAATCCACTTCACCCCAAAGTAACTGCGCTTCAAAGTTTTTAAAAAATTTTAAATGTGTATGGGTGTTTTGCCTGAATGTATGTGTATGCACCCTATGCATGCCTGGTCCCTGTGGAAGTGAGAAGGGGTTAGATCTCCTGGAACTACAGTTAAGGATGGTTGTGAGCCACCATATGGGTGATGTGAATTGAACCCAAGTCTTCTGGAAAAGCAGTTAGTGCTCTTAACCACTGAGCTATCTCTCCAGTCCCATAGCCACATTTCTTAGGATCCATCTTATTCTAACAATATGTAGCTATTTCACATAATTATATTCATCATAGTGTTTCCTCTAGTCAGGGTCATTAGATTTAGTCTTATGAATGGCATCATATAGCCTCATGAAGTTGCTATAGCATGTCATCACTTATGTATTCATCACCATGTTTAGGTTATATCAAGTTTCGCCTGTGTGACTGATGCTACCATAAACATTCATACACATGGAGCTTTTCTTCTCTGGATTATTTTCTTAGGACCAACTCCCAGAAATGATATTTGGGGTTAGAGGACATTGACACTTTGACTCTTGTTATGCATTACCAGATTGTGCTTGCAAAACAACTGAACCAGTTTACACCATTCGATTAAAGGGGCTGCAATTATAGGGGTTTTACTGCTTTTCAAAAGAAAAGATTTGATGTTCTTGGGTGATGAGATTCTTGAAAGTCATTTTCCCTTTTTCTACCACAGATGACCCCAGGCGAGATTAAATTCTCTGTCCATGTGGAGTCTGTTCTGAATCGTGTACCTCAGCCTGAGTACCGCCAACTTCTGGTTGAAGCCATCCTTGTCCTTACCATGCTGGCAGATATTGAAATTCACAGCATTGGGAGCATCATTGCTGTGGAAAAAATAGTACATATTGCCAATGACTTGTTCCTTCAAGAACAGGTAGGTTGCCTAATGTGGTGCACACCTGTAGTCATGGCACCCAGGAGTTGCAGGCAGGAGGATTGGGAATTGAAGGCCAGCCTCAGCTACGTAGTAAGCTTAAGACCAGATTGGGCTACATGAGACCCAAAACATACAAGAGATGCTTCCTTCTCAGCCACTGTGAGAGAAGACAAAAGTAGCCAAGATTGTCTAAACAGTCCTAGTTTTAAATGCTCTGGAATGTTATCAATCCACATATGAGAAAATATGATCCATTTTAGACATAGACTCTAGATTTGGAATGTCTACAGTCTTTTTGAATTAAGGTGGTTTAGAAAGAAATAAAACCAAATAAAATATGAAGGAATATAAGCCAAACTCAGTAGTACTAGAAGAAGGTGGAGGTTCCAATGTAGTCCACTAGGGTTATCTCCAAGTGCTAACATTATTTTGGTTATTAACAGACATGAAAAATTAAATCAATTATTAATTGATATTTAATTCTCAAAAATGCTCTACAATAGAGAATTCTAAACAATATAACTTTGGGCCAAACCTAAAGGAGACTTAAGGAGGACAGTTGTTAGTATTCAGGCATCTGTACTGGCCAGTCCTTGGTGTTCTGACAGGATATGCCCTCAGCTGCAGCCACTAAGAGCACCACCTGTGCGTATTCACTATGTTCCCTTTTAAAAGGGCCCTGCCCACCTCCCATCCTTCTCTCTCCCTCTTATCTCCCTCTGTGTCTGACTGTCCCTCTGTGTCTGTTTCTCTCTGTCTCTGTCTGTTTCTCTCTGTCTCTGTCTGTTTCTCTCTGTCTCTGTTTCTCTCTGTCTGTTTCTCTCTGTCTCTGTCTCTGTCTCTGTCTCTGTCTCT